GGCAGAAGCCACCGTAAATGATCAGAAGACAGACTAACAGTGAAAAATATCAGCAGCTTATATTACAAGAGAGCTGATTTCTCAAATATGAAGAGCTTCTATAAATCAGAAAGAAAAATGTCAATTCAGTGGGAAAATGGGCAAAAAAAGATGAATACATGGTTTCTCTAAAAAGAAATATATATGGCTCTTAAGAGAAAAATTGAAAGATGACTTAAGACTACTCATAATGTGAAAAATATGGATTAAAATCATACTGAGATTGTTTTTCACCTACCATACTGGCAAAGATTCAAATATTTGATAATAGATCTTTTAAATACAGAGGCAGATTAAGCATATTAATTTACTTTTGTTGCCGCTACTAAAACAGCATTAAAGAGTTTTTAACTTTTTTGTCCAACTAGGACAAGGAGATAAGAAAAAAAGCTTTAGAATCTATAAAGTTTATGAATGAGTGAGAGACTTCGCAGACCTAAAAAATCTGAATCCCAAGGCTAGAAATTAAGACAAAAAGCACCCAATTTATACTATAAAATTTTCTGAGAAGCTCAAGAATTGACAGTACCAGTAATCTCGAAGTAAAGTTGAGGGTGACTGTAAAGCCAGGAGGATTGCTTGAAAGTATTTTTAGAAAGTCAGATACTATATTAGTTATGCAATACTGCATTAAGAAATCACTTCCAAACTTAGTGGCTTGAAACAGCCATTATTATCTCTCACTGTTTCTGTGGGCCAGGAATTCAGGAGTGACTTGACTGGGTGGCTCAGGATCTTTCATGACATGCAGTCAGATGTCAGCAGAGGCTATATGTACTTATCTGAACGTTTGACTGGAGCTGGTAGACCCCCTTGTAAGACAGCTCACTTCTGAGGCTCGCATGTTGGCAGGAGAACTTAGTTCTTCTGATGTGAGCCTCTCCACAGAGCTGCTTGAGTGTCCTCCCAGCATGAAGCCTAGTTTTACCCCCAGAGTGAGTGAGCCAGGAGACCAAGGTGGAAGCTGCAATGCTGTGTATGATCTAGACTCAGAAGTCACACCATCACTTCTGCCATATTCTGTTGGTCACACAGTTCAGCCCTAGTGCTTTATAGAAGGGAATTAAACAAGGACAGGCATACCAGAAGGTGAGAAACTTTGTGGGCCACTTTGGAAGCCAAGTACCACAGATGTTGGGATCCCTACTCCTATTCTGAGTAATCACGTGACTTTCCATCATCTCTCTAACGGAAGGCTGGAAGTGTTGTTTCCTGCTACCTTGCTGAATCTTTT